ACTAATATAGCTACAGGGTAATAACATGTATTTGAAACCATCTTCAAAGTCCCTGCCATACAGAAAAGTTGTGGCTAATGTCTTGGCTAATGAAGATTCAGCATCAGAAATGCTGGTTGGTCTTATCTGTACACTACACTACTCAGCAAGCTAGCCCTAAGCGTTATCTGAAGGAATGGACATTGCATCATGGCTGCTTTACATAGGTCAGAGGTACTGTATTTAGCCTAGAAGAGCTCTCATATAAAGGACTTTAAATAGTTCTGCCTGTAGTAGATTGACAAATTTAGATGGATTTCTGTGTCTTATATTCAGTATCCCAGAGAGCATCAGACCAAGTCTATTGGAAACTTTCCCACTTCCATTCCCCCGTCCATTTACCAAACAAAGGATTGAAACCCTTTGTTTGGTAAACTCTGTAAATGGTACAAACTTTTCTTAATATTTGTGGTGTTGATGAAATTGGCATGCAAGTGAAACAACTGAGTCTCTTAAAAAGTTAGACTTCATTTATTATAGGCACTCAACTTTAAAGTAAAATCAAAGATAATCTTTTGTGAAAAACATTGGAATCCCATATACATTCGCTGCTTTGAACAACAGACTTGACAGAAAGATCACCACCAGTATTAGCAATTTAATAGCCTAAAGGTAGGTCCAGAAATCTTTTATGAAGAGTGATATTGTTCCATTCCTAGTTTGGCATGGCTGCCAGAGAAAGAGGGACCGTGAGTGGAGGAAATCAGATGTTTTTAGTTAAGGTCAAATTTTTCAGTCCAGACTTAGGGCAACATATGTGATTTTTCTTAAAGGGATTTTTTTCCCAATGACTTCATGTTTCATTGAGTGAGTGCATTAGCCTTGACCTTTGGAGACTTAGTTGAAATTTTATCTGAGGTTTCAAATGAAAACATGGTTGGTGCTCTCATCCTAATTCCCATGTGAGCACATAGCAAAAGTAACAGAAAGGGTAAAAGACTGACTCCATTTGAATCAATGGCAAAATTCCCATTGACTTCAATGAAGCTAGTTTCATTCAAAATGTGGCAGGATAAATAGTCCTTCATTAAGAAAGGCCAGTGTATTCTCAAAGCCACATGAAGGCGTTTTCACGATATGTATCCATGCAGTATGTTGTTTGTGGCTTTAAGCATTCTTTTAAAAGTCTGATCCTCCTTTCATTGAAGCTAAAGGCAAAACTCTCATTAATTTCAATATGTTGCAGGATTGGTTTTTTTAATCTCGTGTGTTCATGGTAAAAATTAATTCACCACTTTTTAACAAATTTAAACTCACACTTTATCTGGGAATTTATAGAGGCATCTACTTCAGATGATGTAGCAGGTAATCTGGAAGTTGGGTTTATACAAATATGTGTTGTCATGCCCCTCATGCTTTATGAAAATTATCTTATGAATATGGATATGGTTTATGCAAAATGAGACATGCAACATGTTATGTTGAAAATTGTAATCCACTTACTCTATATATCCTATTTTTGTGTGTGTATTATTCTTATATGTGAAGTTAGGAATATGAAGTGTGAATCTGTTTTTAATTCTAAATGTGTTAAAGAGGGCCATTAGCGATACTTTAGGAACTTAATGACTCAGTGGCCAGTGAATGGTATTAGTTTTCCTGTAAGCCCAGACTGTGGTTGGTCCCAGAAAGACATGTGATCATGCCACAAGGTCTGGAATCCACCTTGAATTTAGTACTTTTCCATGGGGATGGGGAAACTGAACCAAGGGTTACTGCTCTGGGGAAAGTGTATTTAAGGAATGCAAAGCAATCAGGTCTTTGTCTTCAACTGGCCTGTGAAACTGCTTTGCCCAACCTAAGAGGATACACATGAAGAAACCTGAAAACAAGAACTCCAAAGAACTCTGAAAAGCTGTAGACCCAGGCCAGAATAAAGATAAACTCTAACTTGAAGCATTTTATCTGAGATAAGAACAATTGTTAAGAGTAGGAATTTGCATGTAACAAGTTTCTTAGTGTATTAGAATTAGCTGGTGTCTTTTGTTTATTTTGGTTTAGTAACTTACTTTGACCTGTCTGTTTTAACGTTCAACCACTTAAATCCTTTTTTATAATTAATAAAACACTTGTTTATTATCAAGCCCAGTGTAAATAATTGTTACCTGGGGGGAACAAACAATGTGCATATCTCTCTTTCATTGATAAATGGAGCTGACAACTTTATGAACTTTCTGTGTAAAAATTCCACATAGATGGATTCATTTGGGATTTTTTCCTTTTGGGGGTTTGGTTCTTGGGTGCTGCCAACAGTCTTATAGCTGAGCCCTCCCAGAGCTTATCTGGTTCGGTGTCTGTATTGCTCTACAGGGGTGAGGTAACCCCAGCTCTGTGCCTTGGCTGGGGGAGACCCAGAGATTCTGGCCCAGCAAGACTGGATGTGGGGAGCCCCAGAGGGCAGGAAGGTTGGTATCAATGGCTTGATCAGAAAACCGGGGGACAACCCCAAGGGGATTTCTGTGATCCAACCCATCACACATACACACATCATTTTTCACTCTACATGTGACTTTTATTCTTCCTTTAATAAAATATTAAGAGAATAATTTGAATATAGTACTGTATCATGTATGCTACTTATCTTCCACAAAGCCCTTGGATGGCCCCATAATGCATGGGAAATATACAATGCCATATTATAAGTCTCAATAAAACCTGGCATAGTCATGCAGGATAACTGATCTCATTTATATTTTTAAGAAAATTAACCAACTGGTTTTCTCAGAATTCTTTGTAAAGATTGTCCATGGCCATAAGAGTTAAAGGTACTTTAAACAGGGAATAGAATTACTTTATTTTATATACCTTTTTATATTATGGTAGCATCAAGAAATCCTAATCAGAAATGGGGACCTGGATGGCTAGGTACTATGCCAACACAGAAGCAGACTCTGCCTGGTATCTGAAGAAATTAAAACTGTAAATGTTACACTTTGTATTATTGGTTTTATGAAGTTTCAAGCATTGCAGAGATAAAAGCAACATGCATTCACTTCTATCACCAACCTTAGGATCCAATCCTGCCAGCACTTACATGCCTGCCGAACTTTATTTTTATAGTTTTGTTTACGGGCCTACATATGTGAATGTACTCAGGTGCGGAAGTGTTTGCAATATTATGCCCTTAGATTGATTTCTGAATCTGTTCAGAGGGTTGAATTTGTAGGAGTGAGACAGGGAGTTCTTATTACCGGTTCTTCTGTGTAACTTACTCCCAGTAGAGATCTTTCAGAACCTCAGGCTTGTCTTGTTCAGGGAACAATGTAAGATGAAACACTCATATGTCACAGAATATAATTAAAACAAACAAAATTCCCTCTAAACTACTCCTTCCTCTGGTTTTCCCAGTGCATCCTGTCTCTTCTCTGTTTGTTAATTAGATTGAAAGCTTTTCTGATCAGGGTCTGTCTGCATGTTGCCTTTTGTGCAGCATTGAGCTTATTATTAGTGTTGTAAAAATACATTAATATTAAGTGTTTATCATTCTAATAATCCCATTCCTGTCTCCATTGTAATCAGGAGTTTTGCCATTGACTTCAGCTAGACCAGAAGCTGGCCCTATTGCTGATGATGTGTCCAAACCCTTTTTGTAAGGGTGAGCAAATAAATACAGCAGCATAATCCCAGTTACATTTTTCCAGGAGGATTTTACTTTGTGCAAGAGCTAATGGGAAGAAAGAAATTCCATGTCCTTTCTATCAATTTGTGTATGATGACTGGAGATAGACCTGGATCAGATTCTCAGATCCAGATAACCCTGAATTTCAGATGAGTGGTGTGAATCAAGACCTAAATCCAGACATAATACTAGCCATTCAAGGTCATATCAAAGGTCCAATAAGCACAGTAGCCCATCTTCTGACAGTGGACAGTGCCAGGTGACCCAGAAGTAATGAACAGAGCAAGTAATCAAGTGATATATCGCTTGTTGCCCATTCCCAGCTTCTGGCAATCAGAGGCTTGGAACACCATCCTGGCTAATAGCCAATGATGAATTTATTGTCCATGAATTTATCTAGTACTTTTTTTGAATCCCGTTATAGTCTTGGATCCAAGGTTTACATGCATTGCTAATTCCACAGCTCTAAAACAAAGCATAATGGAAGGATGGTCTAGTCATAGTTATTGCTTGCATTAGGAGACCTTAAGTCAGGCTCCTGTGTGAATGCGCTCTCTATGAATCCACTTCCCTTCCAGGAAAAGTTAATAAGAGAACTTTCCTATCTCTGAGGACTGATGTAAGGAGAAATACGTTAGCGATTGTAAGGAGCAGAGATACTATATAATGGAGGTCATATAAGTACTAGAATAGAACTTTTTCTGATTACAAAATATAGTAGGACCTTTCTGATGTCTTATCATTCAGAATAAGATCTTATGGCTTTGACTTTGTTGCAGTACTATACTGGCATCTATTTTTTACTCAAAATTCTGAACATTTTGAAGCTTACAGAGGTGGCTTCTTGTTTCAAATTTGCCCTGTTTGTACTTACTCATTGTTCCAGCAGAATTCCACAGTGTGGCCTCCCAGACCTTTGTAACAGATACTATTGTACAATGTTGTGCATGACTGAAGTCTCCAAAACGAGCTTTAATTGGAAACATAACTTGACACAGTAGTAAATGCCAAAAGAGAAAAAATAAAAGGCCACTCTGCTGGCATTTTGTACTGACAACACTTGACAGGACATACTGAGCATAGCTGCGGAAAAGGAAAAGTATGGCAAATTAAAACAAGAATTATTAAAGAAAACTTAAAGGGGTAGATCCTCAACTGGTATTAATCAACATCATTCCATTGACTCCAATGAAGTAACCACTATATCATTGATTTCGTTGATGCTCCCTATCTAAACTAACTGAGAATCTGATGTATTTCTCTTTCACGTATACACATGCACACAAACTTAAAAGGATATTTATTTGTTTCCATTTTTTCAATACAAAATTCTGTTTTATAGGTTGCCCACCGCTTGGTTTAGAGACGTTAAAAATTACTGATTTCCAGCTCCATGCTTCTACAGTAAAGCGATATGGCCTTGGGGCCCACAGAGGAAGGCTTAATATTCAGGTAAGATCAATTTTCTTTGCAAGTGGTAGAATGGCTTAGGGTTGTACAATTTTGCAGACAGTGCTAATGGATGTTATAGGTTTTGACTGCCTTGTCAGCTCACATTATTCAAATGAAGAGGAAATATTGAATTACATTGGTGGACAGGGTTGGTGAAGTTGTGCAGTTTGTTTTATGCTTAAAAAAACCTTAAATGTCATGGTGCTTAGAATTTAAATCCTAATGGAATTCCATAAAATAAAGAGCTGGATGGGGCAGGGGAAAGAACTTTTCCTCCTGTGTTAGCAGAACACAAAGAGGAGAATGTAAGGATATTTGAGATGTAAGATGGTTTTGTTTCATTATTTGCCTGTAAGTAATGAACCTCATAAACAGAAAAAAAGAAAAACATTTTAAGCAAAGTAATAGAGATGCAGCCCTGTTAGTCTGGTCTAGCTGAAACAAAAGATAGGACTATGTAGCACTTTAAAGACTAACAAGATGGTTTATTAGGTGATGAATTTTCGTGGGCCAGACACACTTCCTCAGATCAAATTGTGGAAGAAAATTGTCATGACCATGTATACCAAAGGAGTACAATCAAAAAAAGTGAACACACAGAAAAAAGACAAATCAAATTTCAGAACAGTGAGGGATGAGCGGGAGGTTAATGATATTAGAGGTGATAATTGGGGAAGCTATCTTTGTAATAGGTAAGGTAATTAGCATCTTTGTTGAGACCAAGTCGGTAAGTGTCAAATTTAAGTATGAATGACAGTTCAGAGCTTTTGATCTGAGGAAGTGGGTCTGGCCCACGAAAGTGGTGTGAATCAGTTTCCATATATTTATTTACTGATTAAGCAAAGCAAGGGACGTATTTCAAGGAAATCTACTTACTCTAGTCTAGCTGAGTGATGGAATGGAGCCATGGATCAGATGGCTTGAGGCGAGTGAGTTAACCAACATTAGAAGTGACCCTTACTTGCTTTGAAATTCTTTCCAAACTGAAGTTCAGCTTGACACTTTTCTTTAGCCAATAGAGTGGAATCCAGTTGTTGAAGTAATTTGATTCAGGTTGCAGTTACTTCCAAGATGGTTCCTTCAGTCTCTTCCTTCCAATGCAGTTACCAAAACCAGAATCAGTGCATTCATTGTTTAAGGGGCAAACGTGTTGAATATGTTTAAACCTTAAAAGGTTTTTTTTTAAGTATAAAAATGGTTGAGGGGATCACTCTTAGATTTATGACTGGATCAAAACCTCATAACCGGAATGTAAACAGAAAAGAGGCTCCAGCCAATTATTCCTCTCAGAATAGCCAAGATGCACTCAGGCTGGACAGTTTCCATAACAACATTTGGTTACTTGTTCAAGCTTCTTGTCTCGTTTGTTACGTTATAGGGTTTTTCTAGGCCACAGAACTCCTTTTTTGGGTCTTTTTCTCATTTTGATCTGTATCCAACTCTTCCTCCAGCAGCTCTCCAGACACCACTGTCTGTAATTGTAATATCTGTACCAACTTTCAGATAGTGACCCCATTTTTCTCCACAGTGAAGCTCATTCTTCTCATATCTCTGAAGCATTTCATACTTTAGGTGGTCACCTGACAGATGTAGTGAACTCTTCCATTAAGAGTCTTTTAACCCCAAAGGCTAGTCTACTTTATTTCAAAAATATTTTTCATTTGTTCTTCATTCTCCAGTTTCAGGTCTTTGTCCAGAAAATTGATCTATTTTCCTACTGCACAAATGCTTTAGCCTGTCATAACGCTACTAGATGCAACATCTTATTTCTCTCTCTCTCTCTCTCTCTCTCTCTCTCTCTTCCATTTCCATTGGCAAACATAATCTCTTCATTTTCTGAGCGACTTTCAAGTTTGTTTTGATTATTTCCTGATATAAATACTTCACAATTCTAACACTGTTCATATATAAACAACACTAGAGTGCCTAATCTGCTGTTTAAACACAGGGGTTTCTCTCTTTTCCTTTTCCTGTTGAGTGCCACCTTTTTCTCCTTCACAACTTTATCTTTACTAGACAGTTTTGGTAATCTTCAGATTGCACATTTTCTACATTATAGCTCCCAGATAGCCATTCTATAATCCCATAAACCAGCGCAAACTCTCAGAACACTTGCCATAACTGAAAATGTATGAAATGTGATTGTTGGTACTTATTTATGTGCTCTCATTCTTAAACGTAACTAGGGGTGTGAAATTCAACTCTGGGCAGAGGTTTTTTTCTATGCACTTCAGCTGTGTTTAGAAGGTATAATGGTTGGATGGCCAACTTTCTAACCATACAAAGACCCTTGCCCTGCCCCCACCTAGCTCCTTTTCCTGAGGTCCTGCCCCGACCTGCTCCTTTTCTAAGGCCCTATTCCTACTCACTCCATTCCCCCTTATTATGTCACTTGCCTCTCCCTTCCCCATCACTCATTTTCACCAGGCTGCGGTAAAGGGGTGAAGTGCAGGAGGGGGATGGCCAGGGAACTGGGGTGGGGCTGAGGATGAGTGGTTTGGGGAACAGGAGAAGACTTTGGGCTGGGAAGGGAATTGGGGTGTGGCATGAGTTAGGGCTCCGGATGAGGAAAGGAAGGGGAAATTCTAGATGTGGGAGAGGGACCTGAGCCAAAGCCAGGGATTGGGGGTATGTGGGGGTGAGGGTGCAGGTTCCAGAAAGGATTCTGTGTGTTATGCTTATAAGAAGCACACAGGATCTTTATAAGGGAAATGGCAATATGCCGTGTTTATTAAGAATACAATAGTAAAGTAGCTAGCATATGCTCACATAGATGAATGCACACGCACACACGCACGCACACACACACACACACACACACACTGTCCCACCAATCGGTCTCACCAATAGATGTTATATTTACCAGTCCACAGTCCAGATCTCTCTGGTGGTCAACCAGATTGACCATGGACAGGGAGGAATAGGGCTCTGTCGGTCTGGATTGATGCTCCAGTCTTGGTAGAGCTGGATCCAAAAACTGTGGCAAAGCAGCTCCTTTTTATAGCAGCTTTCCTTCATTAGGCTCAGTAAGTTTCACACCATCATGCTATAATCAATTGCTGTTTGACTGAGTGCTTGTTTTTTAAATTTTTCTTCTCATGTCACAGCTACTTTGTCCCAATTGATAGGTGCTTGCCTTATCTTTTAGAGTTGTCAATTTGTCATTCAGCTGCATCTCGTTAGGGATATACTGCAATCTCAGGGAGCTTTTATGTCTGTCCTCCCTAGAACATCTGGCTCCTCTGTAGAAGATCTGGTATGATGATGGACCTCACACTTATCTTCTAATACACATTCCTTTTTCTGCACATACACAAACAAAAATTACATAGTTGCTTCTGTAAAAACAGATCTAATACAACCCCGCCCAACCACCACCATTCTTATACTTCTAAATTAGAAAAGAAAACAATCCTAATGGTAAAAGAGTGACAATAGTGACAAATAGACCCTTTGGTCTGTTCCTGCTTTAGCATTAATAAAAAACACAATGGATCTTTATCAAAAGTGCTAGGCTGTTTCTTTCTGTAAGTCAGAAAGGATGACTGGTAAAGTACACTGAGGCATATTGCATTGCATAAAGCTACATTTTAGCTACATGGCTAGATGTGTGTGGGAAGGGACTCTGGGCTGGTGCAGTGATACTGGGGTATAGGACAATGTTTGGGGTGCAGGGTCTCAATGACACTTACCATGGCTCCCAGGAAGTGGCCACCAGGTCTCTGCAGCCTGGAGGCACCTGGAGGCTTTTTCTGACTGATGCCCTTGCCCCCGCAAGCACTGCCCCCACAGCTCCCATTGGTTGCAGTTCCTGGCCAATGGGAGCTGTGGAGCTGGTACACTGCCCCTGCCCCGAGTGATGGCTCTGCAGCTCCCATTGACTGAGAACCATTACCATTGGGAGTGGCAGGTGTGACATCTGCTGGAGAGATGACAGTAGGCAGATGAAGCCTCCCTGTATCTACATTCCACAGGAACCTGGTGGCTGCTTCGGCGAGCTGAATATGACCAAGGAAGGAGGGATGCCTGTATTAGCCCTGGGCCCTTGCTGTGATGCCAACTGGACTTTTAAAGGCCCACTTGGCCCACCAGGGTCCTTGTTTAACCAGGCATTTTGGTTGAAAACTGGATGCCTGGCAACCATATTTAGTTGTGATATAGGTGGTACATACAACTTTATAGGCCCTGTGAATATTACCCAGTGTGCGCATAATAGATTCTCTTTTAAATGTCAGAAAATAAATGTGTGTGTAGTCTTGTTTCTTCGTGTCACTCTTATAGGACAACAAATACTTAAGTTATTTTATCCTGAAGAAATGCTGATGAACGTGTACAGTTATATTTAAAAAATGGTTGTTACATTGTTGATGGTGATATGCACTGTGCTTTTCATTAGCTCCTGACAAAAAAAAATCTGCTCTCACATTGTTAAGGAGGTACATGACTATGAACAACATCCTGGTTTTACTCTGTGAATTTTTGTGGCAGTACTCTTTTGTGTTGTCAGTCTCTAAATGGAGTATGAGCTGGTTGAAAGTACAAGTCCTTAGCAATTTCAGATCTACAAGCTTCCCGTAGCAAAATTATTATTGCCTTAGAGGATCTTACTGTTGTTCTCATTCCACTAGGAATCCACAATATATTTGAGAGAGTTACTCTACTTGTGTGTCTGTCTATTCAAGAACTTCCTAAAGGGTAAGAGCCAGGACCACCAAATTGAGTATACAGCTTCTAGTAAAGACCCACTAAATTGAACATTGAGGGCGCCCCCATGGGCGTCATTATGCCTTACTGTTGTTTATGTAGCTAGAATTGTGTACCTTAAGCCGACCTTCCTTCCCGCAACATAGACCTGGCCTTAGAGTGCTATTAAATTCAATGTGACAGAACTGGGTTCATAAATAACAATATATTTGAGAGATGAACTACAACCAAAACTACATAGACAAATTTCAGATCCAGATCATACTTAGATCTAAGTTTGCAGCTTTCAAGTTTCTGCAGTGGTCTGCATCAAAAAACCAACCATGACCCCCGGGAGCCTTGGAAAAGTTTAAACCCCAAGTTCAAGAATCTTTAGAATTGGGGATTTGGACTTATCTGTAATAAAGATCCTAACCAATCTGAACCTGGATTCAGAGTTTGAAATCAGGGGTGTGGCCTCTCTTTAAAATCAAAGTATGTATTTAACTTGCTAATTAAAACACTTTAATGGTCTGATTTAATACTTTGGCTGACTTTCAGCCCATCTTCTTCCGTGCTTCCACTAATCCCTTTATTCATTTAGTTATAAATTTATTGTATCAGTACTTTAAAATGAACTTTTGAAAAATTTACACTTTTAGCCATGCTTAAATCATAATTCTAATCCCTTAGCACCCTTAATTAAACTGATGGAAGTTTAAATTGATGTAAATATCTTACTTGGGATTATATATTTTGTTCCATATTCTTTAACTTAGTATTTGATTTTAGCTACTTTCCTCATGTAACCAGGAATGAAAATTACAGTCATAAAAGATGTGCAATAATAATTTAAACCACTAATGATATGATTAAGCACATAGCAAGATTATGGAAACAAACTGAAAGTGGCCAGAAGGCACGTCTAAGGAACTCAAACATGTTTTTTTAAAACAAATTACAGTACCATGGCTTTAAAAAGAGATTTAAAGCAAATTATTTGTAGGATATTTTTCCTAAGAAAAAAGCCTGTTTTAAGCATTTTTTAAATTAATTAAGCATCTTCATGTTTAAAAATAGCATCTTTAAACAATAAACAAATTGCTGATACATTACGTAGTAAATATATTCTAGTAGTTGGAAAAAAGTTGATGTAAGAAAAAAAATAGAACAAGAAGTAACAACAGACTTCATCTTCATGTCTTCTTTCAGACCCAGGCTCAGAAAACCACTTCAGCACATGCTGAGCTTTAAACATGCACTTAAAACCATCCATATTCAACAAAGCTCTTAAGCATGTGCTTAACTTTTACAGTGTAATTTAGTTTCATTGAAAGCAATGAGTTTTAAGGATTTGCTTCAGTGATTTGTGCAAACAAGGCTTCTGATATGCCATTGGTCTTTTCCTTCTTTCCTCCTGTCTGCCATCCACAATACTGCCAAGTCCATCTTTCTTCCCACCCCCAGATAAAGCAAACAGCACCCAGAGTTCCTCCACACATAATGACATTGCAGCCTGACATAGCTTCCCAGGAAATGGCCTGTTCTGAGGTAGTTATCGCTTAATAGCAATTTCCTCAGATTCAGTTGCATTTGTCTGTATTTTATATGGCCAGCCCAGAGTCATTCCTCCTCCTTTGAAAAAGGTGGGAGATGGCATGTTTGTTATTTATTGACAGAATACACTGAGTGTAAGACATGTATGGGCTAGTGGTTTAAGTGCAGGACTAGGAGACAGGTCATCTCTAACCTTAACTAGCTATGTGGCTTGGGTGTCCCACGTGATGGAGATGAATGTCCCTGAGAATCAGAAATAGTGGAGTGTGTTGATCCCATTTGCACAAACTCTCTGTTCTCCAAAACAGATTTTGGAGAAAAAAGCAAGGGTTCCTCAGCACGGAAGCTTTTCCTCGATATGAGTCAGTCTGTCACAGAGATGCTAGCCTTTTAAGACTTGAATACTTTGAAGGCCACATGGATAATTTATGCTGGAAAGACTTTCTGAGGTTCCAGGCACAGAAAGGTAAGTTGGGTTGAAGCCCTATTCAAAATTAGCCCAGTCCACTCTAAATTAAATGTATATTTCAGGGTACTAGTTTTTAAAGGATTTTAAAATATTTTTCCACTATTGCCAGGATGTTTTCTTTCCCAATGAGTACAGGGACACTCCATCAGAGTCTTAGAACATCTGTATGAGGAAAAGAAGGAATGAAATGAATAATGATTTGGTGTTCTCTTATTTTTTCCATGAAAGGCTTTTGGTTTATCAGTCATGATTTATGAAGACAGCTTTGCCTTCTTTTCAGGCAGGAGTTAATGAAAATGATTTTTATGATGGTGCTTGGTGTGCAGGACGAAATGACCCATACCAGTGGATTGAATTAGATGCTCGAAGGCTAACAAAGTTCACAGGCATTATCACACAAGGAAGAAACTCTCTCTGGTTGTAAGTATATGCTTACTTTTTCTAAAGTTTGTATCTGAGAGTATGTCTATACTGCAGAGTTTTTTCAGAAAAATGGCCATTTTTCCAAAAAAATTCACTTACGTCCACACTGCAATTGTGTTCTTTTGAAAAAAATTGAAAGAACAGAGGGGTTTTTCTGACATTGGTAAACCTCTTTCTATGAGGAAGAAGCCTTTTTCCAAAAGAGCTTGTGTGTGGACGGGGAGGAGGGGGTTCTTTTGAAAGAAGAAGAAAGAGGAAAAAAGCACAGATGCCCTGGTGGCCACTCCACCCATAGTAATCGGAGCTTAAATGTGAGATAGTGTCCATTCAGTCTGGACACTCTCTTTCGAAAAAGCAGATCACTTTTTTGATGCACTTTTGCTGTGTGGACACTCTCGGAAGAAGTTTTTTTGGAAGATCTCTTCTGGAAAAGCTTCTTCTGAAAGAAGCCTGCAGTCTAGACATAGCCTAAGTTGTTCTTTTTGTCCCCAAGAAAGGAAAAAAGAAGAGATAGTGGGGAATTATTATAGTTTTAGCAAGCAATTAAACAGCGAATAGGTAAAAGGCATGCTTTTTGTACAATATTTTGTATATGCAAAACAAATCCAAAGGTAGCACCCGTAAACTACGGATGTCAAGAAAGCAGCACAACACACTTTGATAACAGTCATCATTATCACTTAATTGATGAGTAACACTGTGTTACAAATACAGTTATCTAAACGAGTGTGCATATTGCTGATACTAAGTCTCGTCTGTTTTCTAATATTTAACAATTATTCATTTTCATTCATGCTGGATATAATATTTATTCCTTGAGATTTACTGGTATATCAGCAATCACCAGTTATTCTATACTCTGAGTCACATAAATTAAGTCAACATTTTCAATCATATTTATTTGCACATCACCTCCTTTCAAAAGGAAAATAATCTGAAGCTCTTCCAAGAAAATATACATTTTAATCAGAGTTCCAGCACCTGCTACTGCACTGACTTTGTGCATTCTGGTTGGAGTCCATGGAATTGAAGTGTAGCTAGTGGGCTTGCTATAGCTTCTCCAAGGGGTATACTGCCAGAAAAGGGACAACTCTCCTCTCTCTCCTCATAGACAGCGGCCTATAGAGTACAGAATAACCTCTTCATGACCAGCATCCTAATTAAAATGTGTAGCTTCAGCACCCATACTATTTTTTGAAAGGTCATCCTGTTATGTCTACCATTCAAATTGTCTCTGCATTAGTCATATTACTCTAGCACTGTGGTTCTCAACTGGTGGTCCATCGACCACTGGTGGCCCAGGGTGACTTTTTCAGTGGTCCACAGGAACATTGTCCAAAGTCACACAGCGTGAGCAGTGGCCGCCATTAGTCTGTTTTATACCGTGTTCACAAGCACGCGGAGCTTCATCCATAGCATCACCTAGGACGCAACCGCATTGTGTCGCCAGTAACTTTTGTCTGAGGCTCTGAGCGTCAATGTAGCTGCCGCCGTCATGCTGAGGGGTTGCTGTGTCATTTGTCCTGGGCTACAATGAGATTTCAAAATCTGTCACTGATATCCTCCCACTGCTGTGCTTGCTGTTATCAAATGGTTTTCCTTTGACCCAGACATAGGAAGAGCAGAAGTGCCCAAGAACTTTCAGTATTATGTCCTGAGACTGTGGTCCTTCAGTATAAGACAAGCTGTTCACATTCAGGACTGTCTGATGGGATGCTAAGAGCTATCCACTCAATTAGCACAAAAACACTATTTTGAAAAAGTCAGGAAATGAACTCAGACCTCCTGAATGCTAATCAGCCTTTCTTGGAGGCCTACTATCCAAGTACTGACTTTGCTTAAGTATAGTGCAGGTTTATTAAACTCAGGCTGTGAAGAGGTCCAAATTACACGGAAGGAAGTAGATAATATTTCAGGTTGGCTGAGTCCAACTTTTAGGCCAATTGCTTGACATGAGAACTAATACAGGAAGCTGAATGATATTTCTGTCTCTGTTGACAAAGTATCGAGATGGATAAATGAGATATCACAGAACATCAGTGAACAAGTTGTGGATGAAATAAAATACAGGACTATGTAGCACTTCAGACACAGTCACATTTAGAACTTGCATATCTTGTTGATATTTTTGGAATCTTGAACAAACTGATTCTTCAGCTGCCAGGGAAAGGTACAAATCTATTCTCTCACCAAAGCATCATCAAGGCTTTTCTTGACAAATTGGTACTCTGGATCGTAAGAGTCGAAGGCAATAATTTGGTTCAATTTCCATATGCGGATGCCATGCTCGGGGAAAAGGAAGCCATTCGGACGCAAATTCTCGATAATTTACGGAAGCTATGAGACGCATTCCAACAATTCTTTCCGGAGGTGGACAGGACAAGAGATGGATTATCTTTCATCGGGTATCCATTTACAACAGATGTTAATAGTGTTTCAGAGGATCTGCAGGAGGAATTCTTGGATCTGAAAAATGATTTTGCAGCTCAAGACGTGTACCAGCAGTCTACCATAGAGAAATTTTGGGCCAGCATGACTGGGAGTTACCCAAATCTGTTAGCACACTCAGTCAGATTTCTTTTGCCATTTGCCTCAACTTACATGTGCCATTTGCCTCAACTGGATTTTCATGTTTGTTGCCTGTTAAGTCCAAACAGAGGAATCGGCTTGCAGTGGAAAGCGATATTCGTTGTGCATTATCAAGTACCACTCCAAACATTGAAAAGCTTGTCAGTGAGAAGATATCCAAAAATCTGTTAGTAAGAAATAAATTTCAAACCAAAATGTTCACTGTCTGCTCTTTTTTATCATATCTCAAAAAGAAAGTGGTCCATGAAATTTTTTTGATTGGCCTGGTGGTCCGTGGGCTGAAATGAGTTGAGAACCACTGCTCTAGCAGAAGGCTGATTGTGTGGCACTTTTACCTCCCTACTTGTTCTGATTTTGCACTTTTCAGACAGGAGTTGATGAGACTGAGTGTAATAACACAGAGAACTAGATTCTATTCCAGACTCTGCCACTGGACTGATGGCTGACCTGGGCAACTCACTTCACCTCAGTGTGTCTCCATGTCCTCATCTATGAAATGACTGATACTGTCTTTGTGAAGTGCTGTATAAGAGCAAAGAGGAATACATTATTATTCACTGCCACAGTATGGCCCCACTCATGAATAACAGAGCAAGATCTGCACATACTTAGCAGAAGCCTTAATTAGAGAGGGAAATCTATCCTGTCTATACCTCTCCCTACTAGAGATTTCCAGGCGCTTACTTACTTCTAGCCTATAGTCATAATTAGGCCCAGAGGGGTAGTACATGGGGCAAAAGAGGGAAAATGTATTTGATTTTTTAAAAAAGCACTGATGTTACCAGACACAGAGAAAGGAGCAAGTGACATCTGAATTGCCTCCCCTGAAGTCAGTGGTGTTTCTTTAGAATAAGACCAATTAGAATTAAGCCCTACAAATACAAAGTTCTCTTAAGGGAGGAAAACAGGAGGTGAATCTTGGTATTTATTTTGATTCTTCCCCATGCAGTATTCGTTCAAATCCCCCTTTGATCTCTCTTTCTGCATTATTCAAGCCAGCAATCCCATTGGTACTACTGAGCCTTTTTCAGTGAGTAGAGGGTTGCAGGATTTAATAAGCTCTGTATCCCACACTGTAAAAGATGTAAGATGTACTAGAAAAAAATAATAATTGTGGTAAAAACAAACTTTCCCTTTTTATACAGTAATCTCTGGTATTGATTTCTTTCGCATACTGGCGTGGGTGTGCGAGCCTTTTGATGATGAGTTTGCTGCAGTTATTCCTCATTGTTCTGTGATAGGTAATTACTGTGGCAAAGGAACAGACATCTTCTGTACTTATACATTAGACATCCCGTGTCAGCTATCATTTATACCAGCATGTAACTTCTTCATCTTGTCATGTTCCTGGTTGTCAGGTAATGATATTATGCAGTCTGGAGTAGGGCATGAGGCCCCGTTTACATTGGCAACACACTGACTTCTAGGTTTTTAAACTTCTGAACAAGGTGCATGATCCTGCCCCCCATTAAAGTCAGTGGGCAGGAGGAGCAATGTTCAATTTCCTTGCCTTCATGCGTCTACACTGTGTCTATCTCAGATATTCAGGCCAGGCTCAAAATCTAGCCCTTCTTCAGTAATGCTTTTCCATAGGACCTGATCTTGCTTTATGGAAGTGTGAATTTTTATTACCTACCATAGGATCAGAAGCAAGTCCTTTTTTAATTTTGTTACTTCTATTTGTAAATTGTAACATTAGGTGTGCTATTTGATTTGGTTAAACTCTGCTCTTTAATCTCTTATCTCAGAAATGATTTAAAAGCAGAGATTTCATTATCAAGTTTATGATGCCTGAAACATGAATCTGCAGTATAATTTTAAAACACGAAGGAAAAAATGATAATGTTTACTGCAATGGATGTTTAACATTTGCTGTCAGCCTTTCCAACATGCGATGTGTGTGTTTGCACTGTATGAATAAAATCAAACTGTCTGATGCTTTGAACCACTCCTGTTTAATCTGGGAACACGCTTTTGATGATTTTCAGAATACAATGCATTTTAAATAACTCAAAAGAGATGGTGTAAATCTTTCATCCAGTTGAATGTGTATCTACAATGTCACTCAAGCTGAAAGATGATCTAGTATAGAGCAGTGTTCCCTCTAAGCTGTGCGGCAGCATGGCTTCACAGGTGATTAATCAGCCCCACCCAATCAGAGACTCAGGGCTCTATGCACAGAAGGGAACACTGGTACAGAGTTTCTCAATATATAATTTTTCATGATTTTATTTCTTGGGTCATGAAGAACATATGTTGTTGCTAGCTATCACTTATCCAGCACAAATGTGTGTGAGGTGCCATACTAGCTCTGAAAGGCTTAGCTTCAGAAGACTGACGAAGATTGACAACAGGCAAGTGGGATTTAGGGCAAGGAAGACTAAAAGTGACTAATCCTATGGGATTGG